ACACACACACACACACACACACACACACTTATGAACACACATCACATATGACCACACAAAAATGTATAAGTTTTTCTTTCTGTGGTAACAAAAGAAAAAAAAGGGGTTGCCAAAGAGCAGAACAGAAAACCAGGGGACTGGTGGATGAGCCTGGGAGGGAAGATTGGGTGGCAGAGCTCATGAAAAGGGAAGAAGAGTGGGAAAGGAAGCTAAAAGAGCTTAGCAAAAAACTGGAGGAGAGGACAACTGACAACTGCAGAGAGCAGGAAATAGGAGCTACAAGCCACAGCAGCAGAAGCTAGGATACAGAGCTTAGAAGAGGAACTAAAGAATCTGAAACTGTCCAAAGAACCAAAGAGCAGTATGAGCATGACATTGGAAACTGCTATATCATTCACAAACAAGGGGACCATAGGGAACAAAGGAGTTATACTGTACGCGGAGGCCCTATCAGACCACCCTAGAGTCCGAAAAAAGACGAGGAGCACACCAGGAACAAATGAGGGGACTGAAGAAAATGAAAGAGCTAAGCTATATGCAGGAATGGATGAAATGGGTGAAAGGGACTACATAGTAAGGACAATTCAGTCTGGGGGACATAAGGTAGTCAATGTAGTGATGTACAACCAGCCACAGAATTGCAGGAGGCCAAGAGAAGAATATGAAGAAATCAACAGAGCAATGGTGGACACACTAGCTGAGGTGGCCAGAAGAGCTCACACAGGTAGAGCAAAGTACTAGTTATGGGTGATTTCAATCACAAGGAAATTGACTGGGAAAACCTGGAGCCACATGGGGGTCCTGAAACATGGAGAGCCAAGATGATGGATGTGGTACTGGAAAACCTTATGCATCAATATGTTAGGGATACTACTACCAGAGAGAGAGAGAGAGAGAGAGAGAGAGAGTGAGGATGAACCAACAAGACTGGACCTCGTATTCACCCTGAGTAGCTCGGACATTGAGGACATCACATATGAAAGGTTCCTCGGAGCTAGTGATCACGTGGTTCTGAGCTTTAAATACACAGAGTTATGAGTGGAGAGGGTAACAGGAGTAGGATGGGTAAAGCCAAACTACAAAAGGGGGGACTACAGAGGCATGAGGAATTTCCTACAGGAGGTTCAGTGAGAAAGAGAAAAATGCAAGGAGGCAGAGGAGAGGTTTGTTCCCAAGGGTAACAGAAATAATGGAAAGACCAGAACAAGCCCTTGTTTTAACCAAAGGTGTAGGGAGGCAAAAACTACATGCATTAAAGAATGGAAAAAGTACAAAAGACAAAGGACACAGGAAAATAAATAGATTAGTTGAAGAGCCAGTAATGAGTATGCACAGATAAGGAGGGAGGCCCAGCAACAGTACAGTGGAACCTCAAATTTCGAACGTATCGCTTATCAAACTCTTCGAAAATAGAACCCTTTTTTCAAACCAACTTTGTCCCTATTATCGAAATCGCCCCTATTTTCGAACCGCCGGGTACCAGACCTGTCTGGCAGCCTGCTCTGTCCACGTCCCCACGCAGGCGCCGTGAGCCAGTCTGGTTTTGTTGATGCTTGAGTGAACACTAACCTGGGCTCTCATTCAAATATTTTACGATTATTTCATTGTGTTTATTGCTTGTGGGACTGTGAAATAAGCTACAATGGGCCCAAAGAAACTTGCTAAAGAAACTGATAAACATCATAGATGTGAAGAAGGAAATAATACAGAAGTGGAATGATGTCCAAGTGGAATGATGTCCAAATGTTTTTGGAGAAGTACCACCCTGAGCAAGCTGAAACAAGCCATCTTTGCAACAAGTTCAGTGACAGAACCATGTCCCATTTTAGGGAAATCTTAAAGAGGCACCAGAAACAGAGGACTGTGGACAGTTATTTTGAAACAAGGGTCCAGTGATTCTCAAGCTGGTCCTAGTGGCATTAAAAGACAGAGAAGGGAAATAACCCCAGAGAGAGCTTTAATACCTTAAGTCTTCATGGAGGGGGATTCTCCTTCCAAACACAAATCCCAACTCCCTCTCTCCTCCTCCCTATCTTCCAGCTGCCATCACCAATCTTCAATAAAGGTAAGTAAAATGTCATTTTATATGTTTATTTAAATTGATTAATACATAATTGAACACTATATTTATTGTGTGTATGTAAAACTATAATTAATCTCCATAAAATGTATTTTTTTTGTGAATATTTTTGGGTTTCAGGAACGGATTAATTTTATTTCCATTATTTCTTATGGGAAATATTGCTTTGCTTTTCAGACTTTTCGAATTTAGAACTAACTCCTGGAATGGATTAAGTTTGATACCTGAGGTTCCACTGTACAAAGATGATAAAGCATCGAAAGTCAAGTCTGACCAGAAGCTGTTGTTTAGCCACATCAGGAGAAAGACAGCAGTCAAGGACCAGGTAATCAGGCTGAGGAAGGAAGGCGGGGAGCTCACAAGAAATGACCAAGAAGTATGCGAGGAGCTCAACATGAGATTTACGAAAGTATTTACAGTGGAGACAAAAAGGACTCTGGGAAGTCAGAATAAAGGGGTACACGAACAAAGAATATACCAACAAGTGCTGCAGGAAATACACACAACCAAGGAGAAGGTGAAGAAACTGCTAAGTGAACTTGATACCTCAAAGGCATTGATACGGGACATCTCTCCATGGGTTCTTAGAGAGGGAGCAGAGACATTGTGTGTGCCACTAACAACAATTGTCACCACATCCATTGAAATTAGGCAACTACCTGAGGTATGGAAGATGGCAAATTTAGTCCCCATTTTTAATAAAAGAGACAGACACAAGGCATTAAACTACAGACCAGTGTCACTGACGTGTATAGTATGCAAAGTCATGGAAAAGATTATCAGGAGAGTGGTGGAGCACCCAGAATGGAACAAGCTTATAAACAACAACCAGCATGGATTCAGAGAAGGAAAATCCTGTGTCACAAACATACTGGAGTTTTATGACAAGGTAATGGAAGTAAGACACAAGAAAGAGGAGTGGGTAGATTGCATTTTCTTGGACTGCAAGAAGGCCTTCGACACAGTTCCTCACAAGAGATTAGTGCAAAAGCTAGAGGATCAGGCATGCATAACAGGAAGGGCACTGCACTGGATCAGAGAATACCTGGCAGGGAGGCAACGAATCATGGTATGTGACGAGGTGTCAGAGTGGGCGCCTGTGATGAGCAGGGTTCCACAGGGGTCAGTCCTAGGACCAGTGCTATTTTTGGATATGTGAATAACATGATGGAAGAGATAGACTCAGAAGTGTCCCTACTTGAAGATGACGTGAAGTTAATGAGGAGAATTGAATTGGATGAGGATCAGGCAGGACTACAAAGAGACCTACAAGCCTGTTCCAGCAACTGGCTCCTCGAATTTAACCCCACCAAATGCAAAGTCATGAAGATCAGGGAAGGGCAAAGAAGACTGCAGACAGAGTATAGGCTAGGTGGCCAAAGACTGCAAACCTCACTCAAGGAAAAGGATCTTGTGGTGAGTATAATACAGAACACATCTCCTGAGGTGCACATCAGCCAGATAACTGCTGCAGCATATGGGCGCCTAGCAAACCTGAGAATAGCGTTCCAATACCTCAGTAAGAAATTGTTCAAGACTCTGTACACCATGTACGTCAGGGCCATAGTGGAGTATGCAGCACCAGTTTGGAACCCACACCTGGTCAAGAAAGTCAAGAAATTAGAGAAAGTGCAAAGGTTTGCAACAAAACTAGTTCCAGAGCTAATGGGGAATGTCCTATGAAGAAAGGTTAAGGGAAATTGGCCTGATGACACCGAAGGACAGGAGGGTCAGGGGAGACATGATAACGACATACAAAATACTGCGAGGAATTGACAAGGTGGACAGAGACAGGCTGTTTCAGAGATGGAACACAGAAACAAGGGGTCCCAGTTGGAAGTTGAAGACTTCGATGAGTCAAAGGGATGTTAGGAAGTATTTCTTCAGTCATAGAGTTGTCAGGAAGTGGAATAATCTGACAAGTGATGTAGTGGAGGCGGGAACCATACACAGTTTTAAGACAAGGTTTGATAAAGCTCATGGAACAGGGAGAGAGAGGACCTAGTAGTGATCAGTGAAGAGGCAAGGCCAGGAGCTTCAAATCGAAGTCCACAACCACAAATAGGTGAGTACACACACACAAACTTCAAAAACTCAATGTTTTTTTCCCAATCAAACTGGTTAAGTTTGATCAGGATAGGACTTCATGTTATTCTGCTGTATTTTACAAAGCACCAGAACCTATTGGTTATTCAGCATTTTAAACATATTTCACATCTAACATATAACAAATTTACAGTAAATGCCAACTTGATATTGTTGTGACCAATTCACTTTTATATTAGTACATAAATCATAATAATATGGCTATTCATTTTGATTTTTATGCTCCACAATCCATGGTCATAAAACATTCCATCTCATCAGCCAGGGGTATGAGCAAATTTAGACGATAGTAAAAATATCCTCGTTATTTATGCCGTAAGAAATGCTGAGTTCTTAGTCAGGCAAGCACCCCATATGGAGAGAGGCACCTCTCCCAGAGAAGAGGCCTCATACCCTGAGGCACAAACAATAACCCCCACCACTATGTTAAGGTGAGTCAGCATCGGGTGAAGCTAATAGGTCTTTACTGTAATGAAAAGCTTACACTAGGGATTACCATAACTAAATCTTCATATCCCAGGCCAATTATATAGATCTTGATATTCTAGGCTATTTTTCAAATTCAAACCCCCACAATATTAAGATAAACCTCTTTCATTTTATCAAACATCTGTATCAGGTAGGTAATGATTAGCAAAACTACAAAAAAAAAAAATTATCTGACAATTTCCATCCCTCCTTTCTGCTATCAGTTAACCATACTTAATGTTTTTGAAGGTAGAAGGTATAACTGTAATGACATTATGGATAAAAGGACACAAATGCATACATGTGCCTGTGTCTCTTCAGCCTTAATTTTTTATATAAAATTTACCTATATTCTGGAGCTGCAGCGATGAATACGTAAGCCAAACTTCCAGCACCAACAAATAATATTGGAAGACACAGTAGGAAGTAGATACGTTTTTGATAGGATCCAAAGTCCCCTATCTCTTTAAAAACGTCATCAACATTCACTGCCATTGCACTGCACTGGAGATATCTATAAATAAAAAAATATTAATAGTAGTGCAACATAGTATCATAAATTTGATCGCCTGGTCACAGACCAGGCCGCGGGGGCGTTGGCCCCCGGAACTCTCTCCAGGTAAACTCCAGGTACAGCATATTGCCATAATTCTGGCAACATTTTATATATAATTTAAGATACAATATATAAAATTTTGAAAATTAATTTAAAAGACAATGCAGACTTACAGTGGGCAACTAGATTTTTAATATATACTGTATTCAAAGAATAGTTCAAAACACATAGGATTAATACAAAGACACATGGGAATCTTGGAATCTGTGCCAGTTATGACAGGTTTCAATAATTCCAATTTTTTTAATATTACACTACACTAACAAATTTGCCTGCACAAAGATGTATCAATCATTAAATAATGAAGTCATTCTGAAGAGGTAAACTGAAATATATTTAATGAGAATAGTTATGCTAATTTACACATAAAATGGTCAAATCTTGGGATGAACATCAAAATGGTATACAATACCGACAGGTTGGTAGGTAAGACACATAGGCAACAGTTAGGCAACTTTATTCCGAAACGTTTCGCCTACACAGTATGCTTCTTCAGTCGAATACAGAAAGTAGGCAGGAACAGTAGAGATGTGAAGACGATGTAATCAGTCCATCACCCTTGTGTCTTACCTACCAACCTGTCAGTATTGTATACCATTATGATGTTCATCTTGTCAGACACTGCAACACATGGCCTCTTGGTACAGAAAACACCTTGAACAACCCTTTCAAGTGAGAACTGTTGGATCTGAGAGGGACCTGACCTCTCAGTGGCTACATTCTCACTACTACTACTACTCTGCACCTCTCCTTCCGACAGTATTTAAGTCTCCGCACTGTCGCTTGATCTTCAGATAGTTCCTGACTATGGAACTGAACTTCTCCAGGCTGAGGGACTGACAACCTCAAATTCTATGACTTCAAGGGTGATGGACTGATTACATCGTCTTCACATCTCTACTGTTCCTGCCTACTTTCTGTATTCGACTGAAGAAGCCTACTGTGTAGGCGAAACGTTTCGGAATAAAGTTGCCTAACTGTTGCCTATGTGTCTTACCTACCAAATCTTGGGATGTTGATGTTCTTCTCGAAGCAACGGTGTCCATAATAAAGAATGAAAGTGTCTTGATAGTGTAGTGCATTAGATAATAACAAGTGTATTAGATAGTAACAGTGTATTAGAAATAAGTGTATTAGATGATAACAAGCGGTACAACATCAAGTCTTAACCCAGGCCTCATGTGGCCAGGCATCAGTGCCAGCCATCATAAATGAAAAGTGATAAGGTGTGACCCCAAGGTCTAGTGCTGTGATTGAAGCACTGTAAATGGGATCAGAACACATAAAGAGAAGAAACTGAAGTGGAACCAGGAGTCAGGAGTGATAGAATATGTAACAACAAAATGTAAGGAGGCAGAGGAAAGGTTTGTTCCCAAGGGCAACAGAAACAATGGGAAGACCAAAGCGAGTCCTTGGTTTACCTGAAGGTGTAGGGAGGCAAAAACTAACTGCATTAGAGAATAGAAGAGGCACAGAAGGCAAAGGACCCAGGAAAATAAGATCAGTTGAAGAGCCAGAAACGAGTATGCACAGATAAGGAGGGAGGCCCAGCGACAGTACAAAAACAACATAGCATTGAAAGTTAAGTCTGACCCGAAACTGCTGTATAGCCACATTAGGAGAAAGACAACAGTCAAAGACCAGGTGATCAGGCTGAGGAAGAAGGTGGGGAACTCACAAGAAACGATTAAGAGGTATGCGAGGAGCTCAACACGAGATTTAAGGAAGTATTTACAGTGGACACAGGAAGGACTCTGGGAAGATAGGACAAAGCGGGACACCAACAGGGAATACACAAACAAGTCCTGGATGACATACACACAACCGAGGACGAGGTGAAGAAGCTAAGTGACCCTGATACCTCAAAGGCAATGGGACCAGACAACATCTCCCAGTGGGTCCTTAGAGAGGGAGCAGAAGTGCTGTGTGTGCCATTAACCACAATCTTCGACACATCCCTTGAAACTGGGCAACTACCCGAGCGATGGAAGACGGCAAATATAGTCCCCATTTTAAAAAAAGGAGACAGAAAAGAGGCACTAAACTACAGACCAGTGTCACTGACGTGTATAGTATGCAAAGTCATGGAGAAGAGTATCAGGAGAAGAGTGGTGGAGTACCTGGAATGGAACAAGTTTATAAACTCAGAGGTGTCCCTGTTTGCAGATGATGTAAAGTTAATGAGGAGAATTAAATCAGATGAGGATCAGGCAGGACTACAAAGAGACTGGACAAGTGGTCCAGCAACTGGCTTCTCGAATTCAACCTTGCCAAATCAAAGTCATGAAGATCGGAGAAGAGCAAAGAAGACTGCAGAAAGAGTAGAGACTAGGTGGCCAAAGACTGCAAACCTCGCTCAAGAAGAAAGATCTTGGGGTGAGTATAACACCGAGCACGTCTCCGGAAGCACACATCAACCAGATAACTGCAGCAGCATATGGGTGCGTGGCAAACCTGAGAATAGCGTTCCGATACCTAAGTTAGGAATCTTTCAAGACACTGTACACCGGATACATCAGGCCCATACTGGAGTTTTGCAGCACCAGTTTGGAACCCGCACCGGGTCAAGCACGTTAAGAAATTAGAGAAAGTGGAAAGGTTTGTGACAAGGTTAGTTCCAGAGCTAAGGGGAATGTCCTACGAAGAAAGGTTAAGGGAAATCAGCCTGACGAAACTGGAGGACTGGAAGATTAGGGGAGACATGATAACGACATACAAAATACTGCGTGGAATAGACAAGGTGGACAGAGACAAGATGCTCCAGAGAGGGGACACTGAAACAAGGGGTCACTCTTGGAAATTGAAGACTCAGATGAGTCACAGAGATGTTAGGAAGTATTTCTTCAGTCATAGAGTTGTCAGGAAGTGGAACAGACTAGCAAGTGATGTAGTGAAGGCAGGAACCATACATAGCTTAAACGGGATGATAAAG